GTTTTAGCATATATAGAAACATAACATTATATGGCATATGAAGGAAACCCTTAAAAATGCCTTAAAGTTTTCATATAAGTGGCAGCCCCTTTGTAGTAAAATTAACATGTGACATACATCATAAAAGAGCCGGCTTATTTCTGGAAGGTCGATCTTCATGAAGACAGAGACTTACGTTGTAAAATCCTTTGAACTTAGCTTCCAATACTCCTCCCATGGGTATGTAAGCTTACATACATTAAACTGATTAAAGATTAGGATAGATACGTAAGATTATTAGTATGATCTTATCCTACTATAATTGCTTCTTCCACGTGTGTTGTTTTAAACAATGTACCCCATGTAAATAGACTCCGTACAAGATGAATTTAGATTAAATTAAAGTTATGTGTAATTTTAAAGTCAAATGTTTTATGTACAACTACTTAAATGATTGAAAATATTAACACACCCGTCGCACTAATATTGACAAGTTTTGGTTGATATTGAATTAATAAAATAAGAATAAAATAAAAATGTTTTAGACCGTTACAAACTTTATCAAATTTGATATGAGATAATCTTAATGGAATTTTCCGAGAAGGATAAATGAGACAATTTTAATGGAAAAGAGGGAGTATGAATTACAAAAGAATAGTATAAACGAAGAGCCCATTTCGTGCGATGGAATTGGCTGAATCGATTGATCTATTAAATTGATAAAATTCTGGTTGAAGTGATTGAATATGAAAAATTATGAAACTATTATTTTAAAAATACATTGTATTAATGAAATTAAAAAAAGTTACTCTGTATATTGAAATAGCTCAAATATCATTTTGAGTAATTTCAGTCAATTCAGACACAATCGACTCAAATGAATTAGCTAAAAATAACATCAACTTTACTTCTTTTGCTTATTACACATTTTTATTTTAAAAAGGCGGCACTTATTACACAATAATCATGACACCATCGTATTAAAAATAAAATCAAATGACAATGCTGATAAGCTCAAAACAAGGTTACCAAACGCGGTTGGAATATATGAACTATTTGTGGCTCCTTAAAATAAACACACATGGCTATGCATCATTTCCCAAACTTCAGTACTTACTCATTCATCGTGTTTTCATAAAACTAATTTCAGTCTTAAATCGGATCACGCCATATTACATTTAAGTGTAACTAAAAAAATGTTACACAATTTTTATTAAATAATTTTCTATTTTTTCCAAATTATGATTACGGTAGACCTCTATTTCATTCTTTTTCCAGTCATTTCTTTTCCAATTGTTCCAATATGTTTGTCTCATAACCGATATATCTTCTAAATCATCATCATCATCATCATCATTATTATTATTATTATTATTATTATTATTATTATTATTATTATTATTATTATTATTATTATTATTATTATTATTATTATTATTATTATTATTATTATTATTATTATTATTATTATTATTATTATTATTATTATTATTATTATTATTATTATTATTATTATTATTATTATTATTATTATTATTATTATTATTATTATTATTATTATTATTATTATTATTATTATTATTATTATTATTATTATTATTATTATTATTATTATTATTATTATTATTATTATTATTATTATTATTATTATTATCATTATCATTATCATTATCATTATCATTATCATTATCATTATCATTATCATTATCATTATCATTATCATTATCATTATCATTATCATTATCATTATCATTATCATTATTATTATTATTATTATTATTATTATTATTATTATTATTATTATATGAATGAATATCAATAATATAAGTTTACTTTTCTTAATAACACCATCATATTCTTAATAAGTTCAATATAACTCATTTGTATGTTAATAACATCATAAAACTTCATACCCCTACTATCTTATTCTTTTTTATATTCTTCTTTTACATTTTTCCTAAAAATAAACTTTTACGCATATTTAACCGTGCGATGCACGGGTACCACACTAGTATTATATATTTCCGTCCCATATTAGATATCTTGTTTTAGTTTGACACAAATATTAGTAGTGGTTGAGAAGTAAATATTTTGGTTGAGATTTAAGGTAAATAAAGTGATATAATATGGAGGCTTAAATACATTTTAAGTCCCTACAAATAGGCTAAAGGGTCAAATAGGACCTTGAACTAACTTAAAGTGTTCAATTAGCCCCTTATATAGGAGGTTCTGTCCGGCCATCGCTAATTGGGGCGGTTCCCGGTGGAATTTTTTGATGACATTTTTTGAGCATCTTCTTCATTATGTCTAGTCTACTCATACCGAATTTCAGCTAAAAATGCAACCGGTAAGGCAGTCAAATGATTTTCCGAAATGTATTGCGTTGTTTAACTTCGCAGTTATCTTCAAAAAATCATCTGACTACCTTCTTGGTTGAATTTTTAGCTGCAATTTGGTATGAGTAAACTAGACTTAATGAAGAAGATGCTCAAAAACTTTCATCAAAAAATTCCACCGGGAACCGCCCCAATTGGCGACGGCCGGGCAAAACCTCAAAATATAAGGGCTAATTGAACACTTTAAGTCAGTCCAAGGGTCTATTTGACCCTTTAGCCCTACAAATATAACACTCTTCCTTTATAGTCCCTTCAAAATATTTCTTTTGTTTTTCATCCATATAGTATGCACTATTTTGTTTTTAGTCTATCTCTAATTGCAAAATCGCTCTACTTACCAAAAAAATTATTGTGAGTTTCATAAATCTACTTGAAATATTTAAATTTGTCCTTTTATAATTTTTTGAGGCTAATATTAGAGTTAAGACAATGTAAAACTAAGTATTCACATTTCCAAAATATATATTAAAGACCTTCTAAAAATTAAAATTAAATACTTTTTCAATGACATGCATGACAAAGAATTAGAGAAAATCTAATACTCGGGATTATTTTGAGGTCAATAAGAGGTTATTATCACCAGTGATGGACTAAAAAGAAAATCAACATAAACTGTAGGGACGAAAAACAAAAAACTAATTTTGCAGGGATGTAAAACAAAATGTTCTATATTTACAAGGACTAAAAACATATTTAAACCTAATATGGATCATAGGCCAAAGTTTCGTAAAAGTTGATTCACGGTTGGTTTGCAACAGCTTAAAAAAAGCACTTCTCGACTTTTGGCTTAAAAAAACACTTATTTACCAAATACTCTCAATTTTCATTTTTCAGGCTTTCGTGTGAAAAGTGTTTTTCCCTTTTCTATTAAACAAAAAACACTTATTTTACCAAACACTACCAATTTTTACTTTTCAAAATCACTTTTTTCTCAAACACTATCAACTTTTACTACTAATCACTTTTCTCAAATCACTTCAAAAGTGCTTTTTTTAAACAGAAACTGTTGCAAACATTCCCTCATTAGAGGTGAGTTTTCCAAATTACAGTTTTCAAAGTCTTTTAAATGCAGAACTTACATAAAAACGGAATATTGAACTTACAAACGCATGCGCTACAAATGTCATAATTCATAAAGACCTCACATTTCTATGAAGAAATCCCGTAACGGAAATTCACAAGGAAAACTCATTAAATGACATGAATGTCAATCAATAAATCCTGTAAATTAAGTATAAATAAAACAGTTTCGAACTGTTTTTATTGCAAAAAGTGATAGGGAAAGTTTCTGAATTTTAAATTAGTTCCTTTTTCTTTACATGATATGAAACGGTAAAACTTGAATTTGAAGGACAATTATGCTTCTTAATTAATAGAGTTCCGATGTAAATGTCTGAATAGCACTTGACCATTACGCATACTATATGTACACCTAAATATAAGCATTTGTAAAAATAAAATAAAAAATACGTATTAAATGAAGGTATTGTAGAATTTTTAAACAAAAAGTGTATGGAAAAAATGTTAAAATTAACTTTAGTGTTTGTTTGTTATAGATGGAAAGTGTGTATGGAATTTATGCATTGAGTTAATAGACTCATTGGCCCTCTAGAATCCCAATTTCTCCACTTGATGGAGACTTCGTAATAATAACACGTTATCAGCACACTACTTCTAAAAATTCTAGTTTTTTGAACTATTCGCGATTCCGATATCTCTCCCATTGGCTTCGATAGCCTGTTTTGTGGCATGGACAAAGGCGCTTTTGCCAACGACATGTGTCTCTAAAAGCCCATAATATTTTCACACACACATACATATTTATGTGTGAAATAATCTCTTCGTTCCTAATTGGTCAACACGTTTTTATATTATCAAATAGGAGTATTTTTACTACCAAATTGGTACTCCGTATTAAGTACCAAATTTTTACTACATTCAAATTTTATTTTTGTTTTTCTATAAAGATTAGTTTAGTTTTAAATATATTTACAGAATGCACAAAGAAAACTCACAAGGCCGGGAAACTAAATTAATTAAGATCGTAATCTTCTCCACCCTTAAAGTCTTTGAAGGAGGACCACAGAGAAGTTTGAGGAGATCCTTATTTTTCATGATGGCTTGGTCATAAAAATTGTTAAAAGACACTATTATATTATATTTTCTATAATTTAAACTCTGCTTTTTTTGAGTGATTTTTTTTCCTCCACTTTAGAGACGTATCACGTATGTGAAAGTGTAATTAACTACATATATTGTATAAATGTGTGTCTAGTATCCTTGCTTATTATAAAAATATAAAATACTCCGTAGTACCTTTTTGAAACTTTTAGAGAGAATTCTCTAAATATGAGTAAAAATGTTTTGAAATTCCAAAATAGGAGTATCATGTTTTTATTTCCTAAATAGGAGTAAATTTCTGTCAAGTTTGACATTACAAGGCTTTAAACATGACATTTTTTCCCAAGCTTGGCAGATTACTCCTATTTTGGAATTTCAAAACGTTTTTACTCCTATTTAGGGCAATTTCTGAAATTTTTTTATAGTATGTTTGACCTATTTAAATATATTTTTACAATATAGGGGTCAAAAAAATTATATTATCTCGGAGTTATAAATGAGATCAAGACCGGGCTGTTGGTTTAATTTCCATCCCCACCCATCACTAGTTTCTTGCTCAAACTCATTATTCAGTCTCCTCTATTTCACAATTGGGATTTATCGATCTTCTGCCTCAAAACAACAAAGGAACGAGGTTTGCTTTTTCGATATTTTCTCCAAAAGCTCTTATCTTATTTCACTAATTCATGATTCATAGGATCATTATATTCTTGTGCAATAAATCTTTGTATGCTTCGAATTCGTTCTAAGAAATACCAGTTTTTTTAGAATCGGATTTGTTTTTAACCACTTCCTAATCTAGGTTATTCCACGATTGAATGAATGTCCAGAAATTACAGATTTTTTCTCTCTACGGATCATGCCTAGCTATGATTAGATATATTTTTTCTGATTTTTCTGATTTTGTTTCATATTATATATACATATATGTTGTGCATGTGTGTGTGTATATATGTGTGTGTGTATATATATAAATGTTGTGCATGTATGCATTATATGTGCACACATGCATAACCATGAACTGCATGCCTGTTTTCCCTGAATTGTGGAACTCCAAATGATGAACTCTTTGTTTTTTTGATTGATCATTGTTTTTTTTTTTTTCGTTTTTCCATATGAAAAAAAAAATTCTAATTATTTTGTTTATACGAAGTATATTTTATTGATTTACGATACATGTTATTCCCTCCGTCCCAATTTACTTAGCCAAACTTAACTAACTTGACTTTTCAAGTCAATGACGTCTAACTTTGACCGATTATATATTTACATAGAGAAAGTATTGTTAATATGAAAATGATATGTAAATGTTCGTTGTTATAAATATACTATCATAAAAGTATAAAATTATTAAATTTTGTATAAATATATTAGTTAAAATAATTGGTTAAAGTTTACCATCTTTGATTGAAAAAGTCAAAGATGACCAAGTAAATTGGGACGGAGGTAGTATAAATGTTCAAATCAGCACGTTGGACAGTCCATATGCGTTACATATGCTACGTATATGTTAGACATGATTAATGATCTCTTAAATAGTTAAATCGTACGGTTTATATATATTATATAAACCACCGTATATATCAGAATATTATCCATTCCCGTTCCTTAAATACACTTACTTTAGCACTGTGTCAACCCTTTACATTTAATATCAATTGATATAGTAGTCAAATACTATGTACATTTACCTTTCAAATCTTCAAATCTTATCGTAGAATGAAACATCTGCAATCAATTTTTTCTTTCACAATTTTGTGTGATATGTGAAAGAAAAGGTAGTCATTTTTTTCGAGAAAATCTTAGGGTTTCAGTGACTTCGTTGGCGGAGGCTAGGGCTTTAGTGACTTTGTTGTCGACGGTTAGAATTTCAATAACTTTGTTTATTTATGTAGTCACTATGGAATTTAAATTAGTGATTTCATGGTCACTAGCGGCGTCGCCGCCGACGGCGATGTTAGTGGCGGTGGCAGTGGCGGCGGCACTGTTAGTGGCAGTTATTAGGGGTAGCTGGACAACATTGACTTATTATGAATTATAAAAAAGGAATATCATAATAACAAATGCAATATTAAATCATAATCATAAATGGTATGGTAAGTCGCTTTTTGGAAAATATAAAAACAAGTCTCTTTTACATTTACTTAAGTAATATTCATAAAAAGGCTAATTTTCTATGATCTATATATATTATGCTATGATAACTTGTACTTCGTATAATTTTGTTAGATATATAACATATATGTACAGAGACCTGAGACAACAATATTATTCGTAAAAAGTTAGTATGTACAAAAATTGAAAATGTAGAATTTTTCCTATCACCGCAAAAGGTGCATCACAATTCACATGGAACGTGAAACTGTATCACAGATGGGGATAAGTGTATGTGTGCACAACTTGCACATGAAAGGTGGAGATTATTGTAAAGGTTATATAGTACAAAAAAATCACTTTGTTGATTTTAATCCTTGATTTGAACTATTAAAGATGGAGATCGAAAATATAATTGTCATTTATGCATGAATTCTCATTTTAAAAGGGATTTTCATTAGAAACCTCTGTCGTATGACCTCCGCCGCAGTGACCACCACCAACCACCACCGTCGGTCACAGTGACAACGACCAGACGACGGTGACAATGATAGTGACCACCACCAGTTGGACAGTGACCACTCATTTGGGCAGTGACTAATGTCATCGCCGGTAACAGTGACAAGCGCCGCCGCCGATAACAGTCACAAATACCACGCTAGTCAAGTGAACGCCGACCACAGTAACTCACCGTCACCGACGACCACCATCACCAGGGGTGATAAATGTTGCCGGCCAGTGACAAATATTGTACTAATCAGTTACAGTGACACTTAACTGCCAGCAACACTACAAAACCCAGCCAATGTCGTCGCCCCTACCCCACCCATCACTACCTTTGCTTACCCTTTGCCATGGCCACCATCTACCTCGGCCGCCTCGACGATTGTCGCCAAGTTCCAATAATGACACATAGGTCACCAATGACATGCCTAACTCGGTCACCACCGCACCCCCGACTCCGGCAACCATTGCCGTCATGGCTCCGGCCATCGCTACTCCCTGCCCCACTAACCAGTCAGTGTCCTCCCCTAGCCACCACATACCCCCTACCGAACCATCCCCAACCAGTCCCACCCCTTCCCCCACCCTGAGCCCACCCCTCTCCTCTCGCAACCCCTTCTGACTCGATACATAAATCATTTCCCTAAGATGATGAGGCGCCATCGTTGCAGAATTTAATCCAAAATTTAGGAGAAGATTGGCTAGGAGAAGAAAAACTTATCTAGATCAAGATTCGGCAATGGCGACGAAGAAGAGCAGTGACCAATGAAGAAACCTGGATCCTCGCCACAGATCTGGAAACATCGATAAAAAATTGAAAAAGTGGAAGAAGCATCGTGGGGCGGCGACGTGTGATGACTGCAGAGTAGACGGCGAAGAAGAAACTTAAAAGGGCTAGAACATATCCAAATTCGAGATAAAGGACCTTGGGAAAACTCAAGTTTGTCTAGGTCTTGAGCTTGAACATCGCATTTGTGGATAATTAATCTACCTGCATATATCCAAAATATGCTCAGGCAATTTAATATGGATAAAGTGTACCCTACTACCAATCCCATGGTTGTCAAAGTTTAGATCCTAAAAGAGATCTATTTTGTCTAAAGGAAGATGATGATGAAGCAATGGGATAAGAAATTCCATGTATACCTAAATGCAATAGGCGTAATATTGTACCTAACACAATATTATTAGTAAACTTGTTAGCCTTATAATAAATTGGTAAGGTGTTACCCGGCCCTTACCCCATCCTCGGATGGTTTGCCACCGGTGTAAAAAAAAAGTAAACTTGTTAGTTAGATTTAGTTATGCGCCATTGTAGCGTCACTGGAATGGTATCAAGAATATTTTCCGATACCTAAAAGGAACTAATGGCTTGGGACTATTCTTTGCCTACATAGAGACAAAGGAAAATGGGAAAGAAATTGGAGCTGCTAAAGGAAATACTAAAGATAAAATGATCACCCCTTATAAGAAAACTCTAAATGATATCTTGGTAGGTTTTGCTTATGTTGGGTGTCTCTGTGACTCTCACAAAGGCCGCTCTGAAACTAGTTAAGTTTTCACGGTTGGGAACACGGCAATATCTCGGAAATCAACTAAATAAACCCTTGTGGCTACCTCCTCAAACTACTATGAGATTATCACTCGACACGAGGTGGTTCGTGAGTGTATATGTAACACCTTGCCCTGTAGGACCCGAGGTAGTTACTCTTGAATGTCATTCAACCCTAGTACTGCTATAACAAATCAACACGAGCTTTTACAACACACTTTTTCCTTATTCGTGTGCACAGTGAGAAACTTCTCAAGGGGGTCACTCATCCCAAGACTACTCCCGTGCAATCACGCTCAACCTTGAGTTCTTAACTAATGTTGGTATGAGCCTTGACTACTCCCGTACTGTTATAACTAATGTTGCCATCACGCTTAATTACGCTCCCTTAAAACAAAATGCACCTTGTTCGTATGAGTAGTACTACTAATCATTTTCAAATGTTCATCAAGTATTACAGTATATGGTTAACTTAATGCTATCATTACACATATTTGAGGAACTAGTGGTTTAAAATTTATCACTGAAGAGCCTACTTGCATTTATGAATATAATGCAGCGTGCGTTGAAAATATATATCTCCCAAGTCCTTCTACGATCAGTAACAACAAGCCTTTCTCAAAATCAAGTGAATCAAATGAGTTCTGAAGAAAATGTAGCAGACTTGTTTACCAAGTCATTACTCAAGGCCACTTTTCAGAAACATGTGAAGAACATAAGAATGTGAAAGGTTTCCGAACTCCTGTAATTCTGTAAATATAGGGGGAGGGGGGTTGTAGACATGAGGGGGAGACTTATACCTAAACATTGTTACGTTAGAATCTTTTCCTTTACTAAAGTTTATTTTCCCCATTATGTATCTGTTACTTGGTAATGTTTTTAATGATGGAATGATACATATTGATCAAAGAAAGGATCAAATAAAAGACTCAATGGACGAAGTCTGATACGTTTTTTATATTGTGTCTTTTCTGTCAAGGTTATTTTTTCCCTTAGGGTTTTTGTTACTTGACAAAACTCCTACATGTGTACATCATTCTGTCTACAACTTAGCACAATGGGGGAGTGTTGAAGGAATTTACCTTTAATGTGTGTTTGTTAAAGATAGAGGGTGTATATGGGGTTTATGTATAGAGTTAATAGGACCATTGGACCATCTTTTGTAGAACCCTAATTTCTCCTATTTAAGGAAGGCTTAATGGCTTACTAATGAAATGAAAAGCACCTCACCTACGTGCAACAAAAATAACAAATTAACATATGTTTGAATTCTAATAAAAAAGAAAAAGAATTACCACATGTTAGTATACATCTAAATGTCATAAATAATGTTTAATGTTAGCCTAGTAAATCTGTCGAGGAGGATCAATGAATTTATGATAGAGCAAGTAAAAGAAGAGGAATGCACAATTTTAAACCATTTAATGTCCTCTTCGCCGTAGTATTTGCACCATCGACTTCTTCTTCTCACTTCATTCCCAAAAAAAGGTGTGTCACAATTATGGCGACAGAAACACATATTTGAGGGAGGTTGCAGAAAATCATAGCATTCTTAATCACATTTTCTCATCTCCAAAACAAAACATGAAATCTTCAAATTCCGTAAGCCATTTTCTTTTCTTTTCTTTTCTTTGTTCTCTAATTATTTTTATGTAAGTGTTGATTGTCTGTTACCATCCATTACAAGGTAAAACATGCAGAGTACAATTTTTCAATTCATAGCCTTCTAATTGTGCCATTTTTTTCTCTATGATTAGTTATGACTTATGATTCAGCTTGACATATCCTTTAAATATTTTTTTCAAAAGTAAATGAAATCTCATCACTTCATGATCATAGTCTAACTAAAATTAAAGGCCAACAATACAAAAAGGATTGATTAGATTATCAAAATGTTGTGGTAGTTTTGTGAATAAAATGAATATTAACCACCCTTCTTCAATTTCTAGCCAAATATGTTAACAATTGTTTCATGAACATCACTAGATGGCTTCATTACAAGGGCTTAATTAATCATTGTCAACTACATGAATAGATGTTTCTACTGAAAGACCACAAAAGGAGGAGGTCGTGCATATGGTTGTTATTTCCTACTGCTTCTCTCATCTGTCTGCTCCTCTTTGTAGGGGGTTCATTTATACAGATTCAAAAAGAGGTATTTATGTATGTTTACACACACATATACGAAGTATTTATATACTCCGTATATAATTTTTCTTTTCTTTTTTCGAGCATCTCAAATATTTGGAATAAATATTGGAGTAAAAGAGTCTGGGTTTCGAGTTTTTATCCAATTTCCATCACGGAGAACCACATCAAATAATTGTGTAAAATCCAGTGAACAACTTGTGTTTACCTCTTTCTCTTCCACTAAAATGGTCGACATTGCACTGCACAGAAACTCTTGAGATGGAAAAGGGATGACTTAGAGAACAAAACTTGTCAGGTTTGTTCTTTGCTACATTTTTATTATGAACATTTTAATTCAAGTATTACTACTACTTAAGTGTGTTTTTAGGAGAGCACTGCATTCCTTTTGGCTTGTTTTGACTTTGATTTAATTGTAAATTGTAATGTATGAGATCAGATACACCACTTGTAATCTTTAGACAATAATTTGTCACATATGGTTTAGAAAACATGCAGACCTCCTGGTAGTGAGTCATTGCCTCAAGGCATTGTTGCAAAGACTTCTAACTTGGAAACGAGACCACTTTGGGGTTCTCCAAAGGTATATCCTCAATTCTTCTTTAGAAAATTCTCATATTAGTAGAGTGCTTTATTTCTCACCCACTCGCACATACAAAAAAGGCTACAAAAAGCAACAATTGATCGCGAGATCGGTCTGTATGAACAGAAATTAGAACTTGCCAGAAGCCTATTTTCAGCTGCAGTTGGGATCAAGCAGAAAGAAAAAGTAGATCTGTTAGTTAAAAAGGTAAATGTCAATTATGTTGTGACTCCTTACATGAAATTTCAGTTATTAACTATCGACAATTAGTTGACACTATATATTGATGAAAAACAATAGTGACATAGTTTGTTCATAAACATCATGAGTTGAGATAGTTGTTAGGAGCCATTTGGTTCGGGTCGGTAATCTGAAATTATCTTGGTAATTCTAGGAAGGTAATGTCATGTTGCTTTACTCATTTGGAACTTTATAATATGCAGAGGAAGGTAATGTGATATTACATGTTTAATTTGAGTTTTCAGATTAATAGGGTAATCTCAAATTACCCACACCTAGAATACTAAAGTATTGTTGCGGTAATCTGATTATCTTGACCTTCATAGGCATTGTAATGTTTATTTGGTAATGTTTATTTCTATCCTTAAACCGTGTATTGAATATTTGTCTTAAATTTATTAATATGTTTTTATCCCCAGTCCCCACCAAACATATCTTGTAATCTCGCATTCCTCTATTTAATTAATATTGTTAAAAAATCACTTTTAATAAATATTACATATTCGTCTTGATACTTATTATGCATGGAATGCAGTTCTTGTCATGTAATTTCACAGTAATGCTTTTCCATTATGATGGTATTGTTGATGGATGGAAGGACTACGAATGGAGTAATAGAGTGATACACATATCAGCTCTCAACCAAACGAAATGGTACAATTTACCACATTCATTATATGGATATTTAATTTACTATAATCTTCTTATACTTGATTCTCCAAACTTTTATCATACAATCTATTTTTTTATAACACATTCTATTGTTATGAAAATTTACAGGTGGTTTGCAAAGAGATTTCTGCATCCAGATATAGTTGCAGAATATAGTTACATTTTCTTATGGGATGAAGATCTTGGTGTCGAAAACTTCAACCCTGAAAAGTATGTATCTAATTTCTTAAATTGGCAACCTGTCCGTTTTATAAACCTTTATGTAACCTATTTTCCAAAATCCAATACAAAATCCTTACAAATTGAGAGCTCTTTTCAGATTGTGTTAAGCACATCATTTATTCTTTATTGTACTAAACCTAATGAATGTTTTTCAAATAGGTCTATATTGGATTAAGCAAAGTCTTTTCAAAGTTGTTAAGAATTGAGAACTCTTTTAGAATTGAGTTAGTCCAACATTTATTCTTAATTTTAAACGGATATTTTATAAATAATTGCGTAATAAGTTCACATAAATCAGGTATAATGTTGCTGAAAAATGATAAATATTTTGTCCATTTGACAAGCTACAGTGGTTCTCTTTATATGTGCCATTTAGTTATGTGTCCATCTTGAAGGAGGAAGGTCTTGAAATTTCACAACCAGCACTTGACACTGGAAAATCGGAGGTGCACCATCAGATTACGGCACGTGGAAGGAGAGCAAATGTACACAGGTTTTTACTGAAGTTGCTATGATATTGGAGAATATACAATTAATTAATCAATTAATGAATAATTTAATTTCCTTCTAATTGTGTTTTAATTAATGTTTTTTAGTTCATTGCTTTTGCAGAAGGACATATAAAATTGGTGAAAAGGGTACGACATGTAATGAAAATAGTACGGCTCCCCCTTGCACTGGGTACATAATTTATATACATGATCATATATAAGCAAGAAACCAAAAATATGTTGTCTAATCTCAGACACAACTTTGTTTTTCATTTTTGTTTTAATTATGTACAAGCCCATACAAAAAAACTTGTGTCATTGAGAAAGAAAATTGATTCTAAATTAGACATATAGAGATACTTTATATTTTTTGCAGGTGGATTGAAGTAATGGCTCCTGTATTTTCAAAAGCTGCATGGAGCTGTGTATGGTATATGATCCAGGTAGTTCTCCATTTATTTCCCATGGTCATAAATATTTATTTAGGGGAAAAATCGTCAAGTATTTATTTGTTAAACTCATTGAAAAAATGTTAAATTACGAGCAGTAGACCGGCCATGACCAATTAACAACGAAGATACTAACTGGAAGCTAGCCAATTGCCTAAATGTTAGTGACATCTATGTCCTGAAATAAAAACAACTACAATGTTTTTACTTTAATACACCTCACATTATGAGCTCGATCTTAATTCTGTTTGTTGCATTAACTCTTGGCTTTGATCTTTAGTCTTTATGATTCATAGAAGCTACACTTATAACTAATTAATGTATGGGCGTTGAAGAAAGGTTGCTCTTATCATTAATGCAGAATGTGTACATGCATTTGCATAAAGAGCAGTTATAACTATAAGGATAAAAACAAAGAATAAGAATTACAAATTCTACCCTACATAGGATAGACATACATTTGACTCTAACTACATCATCTATCATGACCCTCAAGTTGGACGGCCTATAGAAGAGACCAATCTTATTTAGAATATTTTGAATAGCCGTTCATCCCAATGTTGCTCACACACAATGAGCTCCCATGAACATGCGATTGGAAGAAATGATAATCAAGTGCTAAGGGTTACGTGTGTGAGTATAATATTGGATTAACACTTATATAGACGGACACAAAGTTATCATAGTACATGGAAGGAATGGTAGAAGTGAGAATGTGTAGTTCATGAAAGTAGTTTCTTCAGGGACATCTAATCAAATTAGAGCATAGTTCTTGTAATAAGGAAGTAACCGATACGACTTCAGTGGCATTGACTATCGCAGCTCTATACTTGGCATATGAAGAAGAACGAGCAAGGGTATGTTGATTGTTGGAGCTCCAACATATAGGTGTGGTACTAAGATACACTATGTATCCCATGGTGGATTGTTAATCATCTAACTTGTCCATTCTACATCGCTGAGTGCATGAAGAACATGAGGAGAGTTATGATTAATTTGAATGTGTCGCTCAGTGGTACCACATAGATGCCAAAGAAGTTTTTTAACGGCTGCCTAGTGATATGTACATGGTGTGTGCATATATAGTGACAGTGTTATTAAAGACCAATAGGTTGTCATCAATATAGAGAGAGGCTTTGCATCAACCATCTCCATGTGACCAAGAGGATGTAATATATATTTTCAGTGTCTTAAGAACACACTTGTGGTGGATGTGACAATTTAATTCCCAATAAAATAGGATGCATGAGCAATATCATCTAAATAGAACCTATGTTCAAGTTGTGCATGAAAGCCCATGATAGCTTCATCATTCAGGTACATGAATATGATATCGCCAACATAAACTAATAATTAGACAGGGTGAACCAACTAATGAAGGATGGAGAGAATGTTAACTTGTAAGAGATAATTCTTTAGTTCCATGTACAATACTGTTGGTATCTATTTTAAAACATAAAACGATTTGAATACTTTGCAAACCCAAACACATGATCACTTTCATTGTATGTGAACAAGTGTGATGATGACCCAAGTGGTAGCTACTTTAATAACGGGAATGAAAGTGGCTCTGTAGTCAATGTCAAGTTGTTGTTGGAACCCTTTGGTTACAAGATGGGTTTTGTAGTGATCCACTGTACCATCTAGTTTGTATTTGGTGCAAAAAAATCCATTTGCATTGAAAATTCATGTTAAGGCCGCTGCCATGACATCCTACTTTGACACCTCATGCTCATGCCACCGAATTAACTTTTGATTCTACATCTTCCACATGGGTCCTAGACAGAAGAACCTCCCATCAAATTAGATAATCTGACATTGGGTATGTTTGACATTTAGCTGTCAAAGGATATCGGATTATGTTAGCGGGTTGTCAATTGTGGATTCAGTTAGCGGGTTTAACTAGCGGAATAACTTGGTGAGTTGTTAGAAGATGTTTGGTAATTTAGCCGTTTGACCATAAAATAAGTAGAAAATGCTACATTTCAAAACTCTAACTCAAAACTCTCATTTCAGCGTTTCCGTCCAAAAACGTCAGTGTCGAACAGCTATTTACCAAAGAGCTTTTTCATTTATTGAAAACCATTAAAGTGGTCAAATCGCCATTTTTTCACTGAAACGCCATTTACCAAACACCCTCGCTGCATAATCTGTATAATGGAACCCAAGAAATTGTCATTGGTGATGAATCCAATTTGCCTATTTATTTTACCCATTCATTTTTTCCCCATGCTTCTAGTCGTCTGTTATTCGTAGATGTTGTCTCCCGAGCACCATAAATTAAATGTAATGTCATGTCTTTCTCCCAATTATGTCATGATAATGATATTGCTATTCAATATAATTTTTATACAATAATTTTTATAGCTTGTATTCATTAATGCAACAGGTGTACATATAATTATGTACAAGAGTAGTGACAATTATAAGGAGAAATACAAGCTATAAAAATTATGAACTCTACCTACATACTTCCTCCATCCCAAAATTGATTTGCAAAGTCAACATTTTTTGTCAATCAATATAAAAATTTAAACAATCTTTTATGGGAACCACACTCTATATAAGTATATATATATACTGGTTAAAAAAGAAGATAAATAAATTAAATACCAATAAAAGTATGTTTTTATTTTGATATGTATAACTGTAATGTGTGCACACACATAAATTCAATGTGTTTAGTTTCCTCGCAACCTAGCTGAATATCATTAATATCCTAATTGTTTTACAAAAACTTTTATTTCTCGAGGAGATGTGGATTGTAAATTCATAAGTTTTTTTTTAACAGAACGATTTGATCCATGCATGGGGATTGGACATGCAACTTGGATATTGTGCACAGGTTGTGGCTGCCAAACTCAGAGCCCTCAATTTGTTCAATTGATTAATCTTAGGATGTTAGGATGAGAGTATATATGAATAAGTGTATAATTTAGTAGGTGCATATATGCGGTTGTTTGACAGGGAGATAGAACATCCAAGATTGGTGTAGTGGACGCAGAGTATGTGGTACATTATGGGCTTCCCACGCTTGGAGAGCCAGGAAACAAGGTCAGACGCTAAATATCTATTTCCAATATGTTTGTCACCTAAGATTGATAGCAGGACAAATTTTTACTGGGTGGAGTTTCACCCACATCCACTCAATAACTTTCCACATTTTATCCATTTGTCCATCACCAGCTAAAAGCTTCATCGGCACTCAACCCGTCCATCGAGTAGATCGGATGACTAGCGGTTCATCATAATTAAAGTATTAACCTTAGCTTACAAGAACTAGTCAGCAATTAATGTGGTGAACTAGTCACCAGTGGCTAGTCACCACTAACAACTATAATAATTTTTTGAACGAATGACACACACACACAAATATATATACGGAGTATATATTAATGTGGTGCACAATTGAGATCTTCCGTTGCACATTTTCAATTTGCTCGAATTAAGCTTATATTAAATATTAAATAAAGATGGTGACGTTTTGGTAAATATTGTGACAATGCGAAAAAGTGCAATATACAAGCTTCATTGTGAAACACGTTGGGCTAAATGTGGCGTTCTCACGTTCTCATGTTAAGCAATGTTCTCATTTGATCTTATATATATATATATATATATATATATATATATATATATATATATATATATAGGGTGCGGTTCCAGTGAGAACGATGCTTAACGTGAGAACGTGAGAACACTCACATTTAAATCACTGTGGTGAACAATGGAGCTATTCTGGTGCACATTTTCAATTTGCTCGAATTAAGCCTATATTAAATAAACACGGTGGCATTTTGGTAAATATTGTGAAAATGTGAAAATGTGCATTATACAAGCTTCATTGTGCAACACGTTGGGGTAAATGTGGTGTTCTCACAATACCACCGGGAAGACCCCCAAATGGAGGAGGCCGGACGGGGCTCCTGTTCGGAAATTCCGGACAGGAATAGCTCTCTCTCTCTCTCTCTCTATATATATATATATATATATATATATATATATATACATATATATATACACATACACGCACACATACATATAGGGAGCGGTTCCGGTAAGAACAGACTCTCAGGAGAGAAATGAGAATGAATCTGAACCGTTGGATTGTATTATGTGGAACTAAATTGTGCATTTGGTGAAACTGAAATGTGCATTAGATGATATTGAAATGTGCAAAATAAAAATTTAAACTCAAGTGTGCATTAGATGAAACTGAAATGTGCGAAATAAAAGGTACAAAAATAACATCGCATCGTACCTTTTATTCTGCACATTTCAGTTTCACCTAGTGCACATTTCAATTTCACGTAATGCACAATTCAACTTCACATAATGCCACTGTATCGTACCTTTTGTTCTACACATTTCAATTTCACCTAATACACATTGCAGTTTCATCTAATGCACACTTAATTTCACTTAAAGCAAATCTAACGGTCCAGATTCGTTCTCATTTCTCTCATAATATCGTGTTCTCATATATATATATATATATATATATATATATATATATATATATATATATATATATATATATATATATATATATATATATATAGGGGTTGATTCAAGTAAAAAGTAGTCCTCCCATGAAAAGTGAGAACAAATCTTGGCCCTTGATCACTTGAAAATGGATGGATTAGATGAACTTTAAACACAAGAGACAGTTTTAAAAAATGTGCAAATATTTATGATATAAGGTGGATAGTTACTGATCAAAAGTGCACTCATGCGTGTCAAAAAAGATTGTCAAAATTTTCTAACTTGTGCGCTTTTTATTTTGTACTGTATTGCACTTTTGTGCTCTACATCTGCACTTTTTGAATATTCTGATACACATTTGTCACAATATTTTCAATAAAAGATCTTCATAATTACCAAAATGCCACCGTGTTTTTCACTTGAAATTTGATCTCTTCCATCCATTTTTTTACATCAATGGGCAAGATTAGTTCTTATTTTTCACCTAGGAAGCACTTTTTATTTCATCCATACTATATATATATATATACACATATACATATATATATATATATATATATTTATATATATATATAAATATGTGTGTGTGTGTGTGTGTGTGTGTGTGTGTATATATATATATATATATATATATATATATATATAGAAAAGATCCTGTCCAGACGTCCGGACAGGAGCCGCCGTCCGGCCGGCGGCGTTTGGCCGCCTTCCCGGTGGATTTTTTTGATGAAATTTTTATGGCATGTTCTACATCAAGTCTAGTTTATCCACAAAAAAATTCAGCCAAAAACTCAATCGGGAAGGTCGTCAAATGATTTTTGCAAGTTAACTGGTCCGGAATATGTATTTTCCGGACCAGTTAACTTGCAAAAATCATTTGACGACCTTCCCGATTGAGTTTTTAGCTGAATTTTTTTGTGGATAAACTAGACTTGATGGAGAACATGCCATAAAAATTTCATCAAAAAAATCCACCGGGAAGGCGGCCAAACGCCGCCGGCCGGACGGCGGCTCCTGTCCGGACGTCTGGACAGGAGCATTCCTCTATATATATATATATATATATATATATATATATATATATATGCAGACATGTGTGGACAGGTGGACGGGTGATAGATAGGCGATGAGTAGAATGTATTCATTTGTACCCAATTCGACCCTCGACTCCTCCACCCGTCATCCAATTATCATCTGTACTTTTTCGGGTTTTCATTCATATGGGTGAAATTGTCGGCCCTATACACTTAAGAGCCCGTTTGGTAACACTAAAATTGGCTGAATTGGCTGATTCTGCTGAAATTTATGAAGTTCTAGCTGAAGTGGCTCTATTGGCTGATTCTGCTGATTCATGAAAAAATTATATTTAAAATATTTGTTATAAATAAATAAAATAAAAAATTACATGAAAAATAGCTAAAATGATCCTCTACAGTAATTTAAGTTGATACAGCCAGAAATGTAACTTCAACCTTACTTCTAATGTTTATTACAAAATTCAACGCGCGAAATCAATAATTACGTGTTTGGTGAAAAAGCTGACCGATAAGCTTGATCAGCCGAAAAAAAGAGTCACCAAACGATCTAAGTGGTTTAGCCGTTCCCTCTTTAGACAAATTTGAGTAAACATTTACTCCACTTCTTAAAGGCACCTAATATAAGAATACAGATAAGGTTAAATTTGACTCGTCCATCTAAAGAACAGAGACAATCAAACATGGTATAGTTTGGAATTTCTAGAGCATCTTTAATGTAAATTTGAGAGTGGTGATCGATGACAGGAGAGATACAAATACATAGAAATTGCCTACCTAGAATTTGCTTGTCCTAACCAGACTTGGTCGGCCGTCAGGGCCACCGTTTTCTGCGTTGGTTGAATCTAATATCATTTGAAAATTATTTTGAGATTATACCCAATTAATTATAATGGTAGTAGTAATGGATATATTACTCCATAGTCTTCTGTTACAGGAAATTACAAGAGTGTCCTCCAACGCAGTCGACTTTAGAATCGAAGTAAGTTGCTCCCACTACAAACAAATCTATGAAACTCATGTCTCAACTACTTAAACTATGTCTCCCATTATTCTATCTGATATGTATATATGGGACCCTTACAAGTTACACATGTGAATCATATGGACAAATAAAAGGGATATTGGACCCCACTTTGCACCCCACTTTTTAGGTGATATTGGACTTTGCACCCCATTTTCAAAACTCCTAGATTTTGCACCTCATTTCCTCTAAAATGTCTTTGCCTTTGCACCCCATTGAGGAAATTTTCTTCACAAAATGTTGTAGATAGGGTGCAAAGTCTAAGAGATTTGAAAATATGGTGCAAAGTCCAATATCAGTCAAAAAGTGGGGTGCAAACTCAAAATTCCCCAATAAACAAGTGAAAACTGTCAACTCAACATTCATACTCCTCAGTTAGACCCTCGTACTTAAGAAACACTCAATGAGACGTACAAAACTATTAAAAACACTCAATTGTAAATTTTAGCAATTTACCAAGTGATCTTTCCTCCACATCATCTAGCTTTTCTTTTATCACAATTTTTCTATACTTTGACAAAACTCCACCCATCACTCGTGTCCCGACCTTCTATGATTTTATTTGTATTTGACAAAATCGCGTAAAACATAGGCAGGCAATGGTGGGGTGGGGATGGGTTGAAATAAAGAAAAAAATCTATAAAGGAAAATAAAATAGAAAAGGCTAGATGATCTCCCACTGCCCATAGCATGATAGTGATGCGGGAATGAGGCGGACAAATGACAAAATAACCTACTAACAAGGCTAAGTGAGTGTTATTAATGAGTTCAAATGTTAAATTGTGTTTTTCTTATATATTTAGGAGTCATTATTGATGATACTCCTGATAGAAGGGTTGCAAATCTTACCAATTGTGTTAAATTGTGTTTTTCTTAAATATTATTATTCGTAATGTAATGTGATATATGTTGAGTGAAAACTTACTGATTTTAGCATTTAATTAATATGACTGCGAAAACAGGTGAGAAGACAATCTTATAATGAATACAAGGTGTTCAAGAGGCGATGGAAAGAGGCAGCTGAGCAGGATAAGTGTTGGACAGATCCTTATCCAGAGCAACCCTCCTCACTTTTGTGAATAACATAACTAATACAAAACAAAAAGAAGCAAACAAGAAGAAACGAGAAATTTCCTATGCTTCTGAAATACCCAACTAATTATTTCCCTCGTTACAATCTTAGACATCGATCTTTCATTTTAGGTCAAAGGTTGAATCTAATTATCTCAATTTTTGTACTTATTCATATAAAGTATTAATTTTACTCATTAGATCATGTTTAAAATTAAATTCTACCAAAGAAAAATATATTAGATGAATTAATCTTAACCGTTAGATTAGCATTGAAAGTGAAAAAGTGGGTACGAGGTGTCTATTTGTTTACAAATTTTAAGTCTAACCGCTAAAATCAATAGTTAGTACTAACGAACATTAAAGGTTTGGACTACTAAACTTATTAAATCACTAAAGATGAAAGAAGACTGAGAGGTCATTTCGTAGCAAAGAAATTAGCTTGATCCCGTGATTCTGCTCAATTTATGAAGTGGTGACTGAAGTTGATGGATTGGCGGATTCTGTTGATTTATGAAAACTTATATTTAAATATTTTTATTAATAAAATAAAGAAAATATATATTAACAAATAGATAAAATCACCCGCAACAATAACTTTAGCTAATAGAGCTAGAAAAGTAACTTCAACCTTACGTTTTCTTATCATTACACATTTCAGAGCGCAAAATCAAAAGTTAAGTGTTTAGTGAAAAAGTTGGCTGATAAGCATGATAACCCAAAAAATGTGGTCACCAAACGGGCTCTGAAAGTGCGTTTTGTGATCCTGTTTTTTCGGCTTATCGGGATTATCACCCAACTTTTTTTTACCAAAAACGTAACTTTCGATATACGCTGAATTGTATAATAATAAGAAAACGTAAGGTTGAAGTTACTTTTCTGGCAGTTGACGTGCACTTTGTCGTGAGTGCACTCAAAATAAATTCAACACTAGCACTTATACGTAGTATAGGTGAAGTAGAGTTCGTATCCACAGGGAAAGGAATAACTTTCTTTTTATATAAATAGTAAGTAAAGGGGGGGTTTTGATTGTTGAGTGATTTAATTAAATTAAACAAGAAGATGAACGAGTTATATGGGATTTAATTCAAAGATAAAAGTGACTTGGCATTGCTACTTTCCACTTGTTGATATATTTTAGTCGATCATTGTTATATCTATAACTTATCTCCTCTCGAATACTCAATCGAGGAGTATATCCAATTCATCGAGGATAGTTATTAACAACAACCGTTCATTAATAACCCTTACTATTTGTCAAGTATAGAACAACGCCATATACCGACTTGATAGTAGCATTTAATCTTTTAACTCCTTGATGAAATCAATTGAGATTGATAACCTCAACACAACGGTTTCGGTTTAACCAACAAAATTAATCCCTCTTAAGTTTATTAACCACGACCGTGCATTAATAAACTGAAGTTACTTGTGAAACTATCAACGATTAACCATCGGTTCGTTGATCGTTTCTAGTAATAATTAATATGTGAAGCAAAACTAGTTGATCCTTTAAGTAATGTTCAAAATATTAATATGAAATATGAATAGGAATTAATTAATACTCAAGGAAGAATATTAAAGGGAATGAATCCTACTATAGTTAAATATCAAGATGTTAACTAATTGTCATCTTAGTAACACTCCCCGATATTAACATAGAGGAAGGAATAGCTATTACTAAAACCAATGTCAAGATGTTAACTAATTGTCATCTTAGTAACACTCCCCAACATTGATATAGAAATAGTATTTAAAGGAAGAATTAATATTCAAGGAAAAGAAGTTAAGAAAAATAACTCACAACTTTAATAATCAACAAGCTTCAAGAGCAATACCAAGAAATGGAAGTTTAGCTCCTCATTTGGAGACTAAACATGCTAAAAGAAATATAGAAAAATGCTATTCTAAACTGAGCTTAAGAGTATATAGAAATTGGTGTCTTTAAAGTGAAGGAAAGGAGGTGTATTTATAGGCTTTTTGAAGTGCAGGCCGAGTACTCGATCGAGTATGTACATATACTCGATCGAGTATGTGTAGAAACCTGAATTTGGTCAATACTCGATCAATACTCGAGTAGATTTTATATGTATACCCGATCGAGTATGTCGGTGTACTCGATCGGGTATGACAATAGAACGTGGCCAAATCTTTCCTTGCATGTTCATTTGTTCCCGGATCAGATCCTTGAAAATCAGTATTGGTACTCGATCGAGTATAAGGTATACTCGACCGAGTATACCCCAAAATCAGGAGTTTTTCCTTCTTTTTGTCTTGTACTCTTGCACCTTCCTTCATCATTGATCATTTGATTGATATTGGACCTGTTTAAGCTCAGAATAAACCTAATCTAAACAAATTACAAGCATTTAACAAACTAAACTATTACACCGAAAGTGTGTAATTTCTGAAATATTAAACAACCAAAACTAACTAAAAACGTAAATAAACACACGGAAATTACAAACGTATCAGCAGTATTGGTTGAAGCTACTGTAGATGATCATTTAGCTATATTTCAAATAATGTTTTCTTTATTTAATTAATAAAATATATCTTAAATATAATTTTTTCTTTATTTAATTAATAAAATATATTTTAATTATAATTGTTTCATTAACCAGCAGAATCAGTCAATCATGTCACTTCAGCCAGAACATCATAAATTTCAGCACAATCGGACAATGCAGCCGATTTGGGTATTACCAAATGGGCTCTAACCACGTAACTTTTAATTTTGGCTTATCGGACTTATCAGCCAACTTTCGTAAGTTTTGATTTCGCGCGCAAAATTGTGTAATAAAAACAAATAGTAAGATTGGAGTTACTTTTTCAAGCTCTATTGGTTGAAGTTACTGTATAGAATCATTTAAACCATTTTTATATAAATTTTTCTTTATTTAATTAATAAAATATATCTTAAGTATATTTTTTCATTTTTTTTAATCAAGGAAAGATTTTATTGATGATTGAAACAAAGAAGAGTACAAATGAAGAAAAGAAGAAAATAAAGAACAAACAAAAGCAGGGTAAAAGAAAAAATACATTACACAGAAGAATACATTAAAAAAAAACATTAAGCAGGTATTTCAGCAGAATCAACCAATTGTTCTGGGCCGTATCTTATTAAATAAGGGTCCGTACACAACACACTTTCGCTACAAGCCCCGAGGCCGTTCGTCTAACTCATTAAGGAAGAGCTAGATAATTGCTATTTTGTTAAGGATAATAAGTTGTCTACCCTTTACAATGAAATAAATGATACTATTTATACTACCATGGGGTAGGTAATGTTTCTGACATGGAGGACTTTGGATGGTTAGCTCTCAACCACCAAATCTACTACATTAAATGTGTCTCCCGCCAATATCTTAGTTTCTTGCTAAGGGTTGCAGACGAGCATCCCCTTGATCCCAGGTTGTGGGTTGTGGTCTTCTGGAGGGGCAAGGGCAAGACTTCGTGCAGCCCATTCAAGTTATCTGGACGAAGCCCTAGACTGCCATCATGCTTTTGTTGTGTTAAGGCCATTGAGGCCGAGCGTCTTGCTAGGACAGACGAATGTCTTGCGACCCTTAGTCCACCATGGTTACCTGCCCCTTGGGGGCTGTGTAATCTGAGACCGAGCGTCCTGGGCATTGCTCAAGTTGGGCCTTGGTGATTTCCGTGCTAAGTGGTAATGGGCCGATCCCCTATCGGGCCTATTAACCCAACAATTAGCATCATGAAAAATGTTCAGAAAGATCTTCAACTCAGGTCTAGGTGCAAGATAAGTTATCTTCTAAAAGCTTGAGAACGTATTTTTTTAACCAAATTCCCATATTCATATCAAGGTCAATTGAAGATGCAATCCCATTTTGCGCGGACCAGATAATAAATAGAATATATATATATATATATATATATATAGGGGTGAGATCACATACTAACCATTCCTCCCATGCTAACCTACAAACTATCAAAAACGGTGCATCTTTACATTATTTGTACTGCATATTGAAGTTCAAAGTGTTGCATATTATTTGTACTGCATATTAAAGTTCAAAGTTTTGCATATTGTTTTTATTGCATATTGAAATTCACAGTGTGCATCTTTACATTATTTGTACTGCATATTGAAGTTTAATGTGTTGCATATTATTGAGTTAGTAAGTTAGTATTTTAAGCATGGTTAGTATGTGATCTCTTATCTATATATATATATATATATATATATATATATATATATATATATATATATATATATATATATACAAAAAAGATCAGGTCCAGCCCTCCCCGGTCCAGCCGCCGTCCAAACTCCGCCGTTTGGGACGGTTCCCGGTGGAATTTTTTGATGAAATTTTTTGAGCATGTTCTTCATCAAGTCTAGTTTGTCCATACCAAATTTCAGCTCAAAATTCGACCGGGAAGGCATTCAAATCATTTTTTGAAGTTGACTGCATTTTTATATGTATATTTTGGCGCAGTCAACTTCAAAAAATGATTTGAATGCCTTCCCGGTCGAATTTGGAGCTGAAATTTGGTATGAACAAACTAGACTTGATGAAGAACATGCTCGAAAAATTTCATCAAACAATTCCACCGGGAACCGCCCTAAACGGCGGAGTTCGGACGGCGCCTCCCGTCCCTCCGGCTGGACCTGATCACTTCTATATATATATATATATATATATATATATATATTGATGGATAGTCTACCCGGGGGGTATCTTATCCGAGGGGTTATTACGGGAATAACTTAGAGAGAAGTCAGAGCAAATAGGAGGAGAGAGAGTCGATTTTATTAAATGAACTCGAGATGTGGAGTTGAGATGCAAATCCCCCTTTACAAGGAGAAATGGACTGCTATTTATAGCAGCAATAAATGCGATGAGGGGACACGTGTCAGTAATCCAACGGCCGAAGGGTCACATCAGCTGGTTGGCACCGGCAGTGGTACGTTCACCGCATTGAATGCGGTTGGCGGATGTGACGTGGCATTAAATGCGGTGGTTGGCTGTCTCCAAAAGGAATCTTCGATGATTGAGCTAGTTCAGCCGAAGGCTCTTTGTGTATCCGAGGGCTCCTTGCGTAGCCGAGGGCTTCGTGTATGGCCGTAGGCTCAATGTGTAGCCGAAGGCTTGGTTCAGCCGAGGGCTTCCCCTGGTGCCGAG